TTTCTCTGATAAAATGTCTATCTACTTCAATGTGCTTAGTTCGGTCATGCTGGACTGGATTATGGGCAATATTGATTGCTGCCTAGTTATCGCAGTATAGCATCATAGGTTCTTCTGCCTGTACACCGATTTCTTCTAACAGAGAACGGATCCAAAGAAGTTCTAAAACTCAATGTGCCATGGCCCTATATTCCGCTTTTGCACTTGATCTTGCCACAACTGTTTGTTTTTTACTCTTCCATGAGACTAGGTTACCCCCAACTAGGGTGCACACTCCTGAAGTTGATCTTCTGTCATCAAGGCATCCTGCCCAATCCGCATCTGTATAGGTCTCTAGCTTCAGTTGTCCATGATCAGTAAACAATATGCCTCTGCCTGGATCTCCCTTCAAATATGCAAGGATCCTGTCAACTGCCTTCTAGTGCTGATCTTGTGGAGCATGCATGTTTTGACTCACTACACTTACTGCATAGGAGATGTCCAGTCTTGTCATACACAAGTATAGTAGCCGACCTACAAGTCTTTGGTATCTTCCAAGATCCTTCACTGGTTCACCTTCTGATGCACTGATTCTATGGTTCTAATCAATGGGGGTGCTAGCTGCCTTTGTTCCAAGCTTCCCTGTCTCTTGGAGAAGATCCAAGACATACTTCTTGTGAGAGATAAAAATTCCATGTTTCGATCTTGCAACTTCRATGCCTAAGAAGTATCTTAGTTCTCCAAGATCCTTAATCTCAAATTCCTTATGCAGGTTCCTCTTCAAACTATCAATCTCACTCAGATCATTCCTAGTGACAACAATGTTATACACATAAACAATTAGGATCGACACCAAAGATCCCCTGCGCTTCACAAACAAGGTGTGATMAGATTGAGTTTGAGTGTAGCCAAAAACAATCAGGGCCTTTCTGAATCTGTCAAACCATGCTCTGAGAGATTGTTTCAAGCCATATAGTGACTTCTTCAGCTTGCATACCTTTCCCTTTTCAAGCCATATAGACTGCTGACTTACTTCCCCAAAACACTCCCCCTGAGAAGGATCCTTTGAGAAGAAGTACGTAGATTCTAAAAAGGTAACATCCATAGTAACATACCGGTTCCCAGAGACTGGATCATAGTAGCAGTACCCTTTCTGATTCTCTGCATATCCAAGGAAAACACATTTCTTTGCCTTGGGGTCCTGAATCCGAGTACACGAGAGGGCACTCTGTTAATCAGATATACTACCGTGAGAATTGCATCACCCCAAAAACGAACCGGAACTGTGGTTGTGATCATCATGCTTCTTGCTGTCTCAACGATGTGTCTGTTCTTCCTCTCTACAACACCATTCTGCTGTGGACTATAGGAGCAACTGCTCTGATGGATAACACCATACTCCAACAGATATGAGGCAAGATGTCTCTCAAAATATTTCCTAGCATTGTCAGATCTGAACATCTTTATTCTTGTCCCAAACTGTGTTAGTACCATCCGGTGGAATTGCCTCACCAAGGATGGTACTTCATCGCGTGATTTCATCAGGTAAATCCAGGAATATCGAGAGAAATCATCCACAAACAGGAGAAAATAGCGATAGTCGCCCATAGAGGGAACATGATAAGRGCCCCACACATYCGAATGAATAACATYAAAGGGAGAAGAACATCTTTTATTACTAGGTTTAAAAGAGTGTCTACAATGCTTTCCAAGTTCACAACCCTCACACTGCAAACTTGACAGACTCACAGACTCAAACAGTTTTGGAAACAAACAACACAAAGAAGTAAAGGATAAATGACCCAGATGGTTGTGCAAAAGCATAATCTGACCCACAGATTTTGACTCGCTATCTCTGCAAACATGATGGCTTTGGTGAAGAGGGAGAGCATCCAGGAGGTAGATTCCATTCACTTCACGACCACTCCCAATCGTCCTCTTTGAATCTAGATCCTGCAAAATGCAACGTCCAGGAGAAAAAATCACTGAGCAGTTTAGATTCTTAGTCAAACTACTAACAGATAACAAATTAGTGCTCAATCTAGGAACATGGAGGACAGAGGGTAAGCAAATRGAATCATTAATCTTGACAGATCCCTTCCCAACAATAGGAACATGGGATCCATCAGCTGTGGAGACCCTATCTTTGCCAGAACAGAGCTGATAAGAGGAGAAAATAGTGGAGCAATGGGTCATATGCTCTGAGGCTCCAAAGTCTATAATCCAAGGAGATCTCTCCTTACCGGAGTATCACCAGTAACTGCCATGTGCGCATTTCCTTTCTTATTCTTCAATCTGGTCGGTACAAGATGTGGGTGAAGCTTCCAACAAGTGTCTCTTGTATGCTTAGGCTTCTTACAGTAGTCACAGACCAAGTCCCTTTTGTCTTCCTTTTTGTTTTCA